TTCCCCACAAGATCTCATCGTCAGCTACATTTTCCGATCCCACATCGATAGGTTCTGATAAGCGTTTCTCGAGATTTCGAGCAATTTAGGCGACGCTCAGGGTGCACTACTATGAGAGAAAATACGGTATTGAAAAAGATGGAAACTATTTTGATTGATTTAGATGGCTTTATTGAATAAATATTTCTGTTTGAAATTGACTCCTCATTACTCGGTCAAAGTATTGGGTTGGGGAGAATGAGTCGGCGCCGAAAATGAAAAAAATGTCTAAAACTTCTATTCGACTTCGTCAAATAATATGCGTTTGATATGAGTAGAATGGTTAACTAATTCTCTACAAAATGACATTTAAAAGAAAATTCAAACAGCGCCTCCGCTCAAGAAAAAGCCATTTTTTCACAAAAACTACAAACTGTGATCTAGAAAAAACCATTGGTGGGATCTTCCTGCAAATTTGGCAACGTAAGTAATTGAATGTGCTCTATCTTTTTTATATAAACACCAAAGAAGGTTTATGTGAAAGAAACTGTTCAAATGATGAGTCGGACTCTTTGCCATTTTAACCAGCTGCGTTTGGAAGTTCATAAACGAACGAAAGAAAAGCTTTGTGGAATCTCTCAAAAGTGATTTTGTAGAGAAATAGTGGATCCTTTTGATGAAACCAAACGTATGTTTAAAGAAGGCTTTATGTGTGCAAAAAGTCCCTTTAAAGTTTGGCACCGACTCATTCTCCCCAACCCAATATATACCGTATTTTCTCTAATAGTAGTGCACCCAAGCGAGCCGAGTTGGTGACTATTTTACGGCTTCTAAAGTTTTCACAAAGGCTCAACGCTCAAATCCCTCACAAGACCTCATCGTCAGCTACATTTTCCGACCCCACATCGATAGGTTCTGATGAGCGTTTTGTGAGATTTCGAGCAATTTAGGCGACGCACAGGGTGCACTACTATTAGAGAAAATCCGGTAATTCTTATGTATAGCTTTTTTTGCTTTCTTGTTATTTTGTTTGTTGAATTATTTTGAAAAATAAAGAATTTGAAAGGGGAAGTACAAAGTGAGTCAATGGTATTGTTTAGCAAAGATCATTCAGCAAAAATTTAGGGAGTTTGGTCTTAAAACAAAAACACAAATAGTAGAATATGAATATTATGCAATTGCCATAAAAAGGCAACAATTTATTGTAAAATAGAGTATGAATCCTATTGGCATTACCAAGCCTTTCGTTTCTTTTGCTGGCAGAGTCGTTGGGCCTACGCAAATCTGGCAAAAATTCCACTCCTTTGCCGTAGTATTACAAATACGTTTTTGTGGCTGCCCAGATTGAGGGGTTGGAAAACGTGATTAAATTGTGATCGACATTGGGGAGAAAAGGCGGTGTCGATTGTGATTGTGTCGAATTGTGCGGGATTGTGTCGAGAGGATTCGATTGAATGGGTGTGCTGTATTGGTGAACGTCTCAATTTTTATAAACTAATTACTCTTACTGCAAAGATTGCATTGGACTGGGGATCTGGTTGGGTGCTATGGAAATAGTTCATAATGAATAATAAATATTAATGTCATGTCAATGAAATTTTCACGAACAAAGTGTTTTCTCAAATCACTGATTTCTGTGATCTAATTTTTGTTTAGGATCTATGCGAGAAGTGCATTCATGGTTTTCAGTTTCATTGAGTTATTTTTTCAAGAAAATCGGTGTTGTCGTTTGGCCAAAGGCGTTGATCAATCTGTGTGCAGCCCTAGTTAAAATAAAACGTACGAAACATGTTTAAAAGTAAAAGCATTTTTTTTGACCCCATTTTTGACCCATCTTCCAAAAATTCATGTGTTCCCCACATGAATTTTTTCAATTTTACTGCCGAGGCTAAAATATTTCTATCTGGACCTAAACCTAAACCGTGGAACTGTTTTGAGACAAAAGAGGAATGCGAGGAGACTTGTTTCAAAAGGAAATTCATTCCGAAATTAAATATGAGGGTATTTTTTAAAAAAAGCTATATAGTAAGAAACTGCCCCAAAAAGTTTTGCTTTTGGGGCAAAGTTTTTAAAAATGGTGTGCAGTGCATGAGAGGGTACCAATGGGGCAATGATTATTAGATATTTATTCCGAATATACCACAATCACTAATCTAGCGAGAAGATCCAATAAAAAGAATCAATCGTTGGTTCAGTGTGTCAAATCCAAACGAGAAAGAATACAAAGTAGGCTCGGTCCCTTTTTATCACAGAAACCATCTTTAGAGGAAGGACAAGAGAATCAGAGACATTCAAAATCAAAGCATCAAATAAGATTTCACAGAAAAGAGCTACTTTTCTGCACAAATGGCATCACCAAAACTTTATAAGCTTATGCTTTTTTATTGACAACGAAAAATATGGCTGCATGGTCTTTTTTCACATCACTCGACAGGAATGGGCAGACAAAGATCTTTTCGACAACAGGATCGGCTTGGTCATCGAAAATCAGATCGATAGTCTTTTGCGATTGATAGATCGTGGGTAATCGACTCGTTGTTGATGAGTGGGAAATGTTGACTCGATCACTTCGAGCACATTTGTCGAATCCAATCTGAAATCCAAAAACGTAACTAACAAGGGAAGGCCAACTAGCTGAGCCGGCCAAACGCTATGCGACCTATACCATTCAACGCAGAATTTTATGCTGATTCCGAATCTGTGTTCCGCTTTTGCTAAATAATAGAAATGGACCTCGATTCGAAAATTTCAAAAAGTCGAATCGATTCGATGCTCAGGTCTATTAAATTACAATCTGCCAGGAGTTATAAGCGTCTAAAGTTTTGTTAGGACTCTGAAAATGTGCTCATTTGGGGCTTAGCGGCCTCCTAGCGGGACCAGTTCGGTGCAGCTGTGGCCGAGTGGAGAAGTTCCCGAGGCGAGACCACACAGGTTCGATCCCCACTCTGGATCTTTGTTTTGCGTTTTTTTCAAGAGGTGCTGACTAGTGTTCTTTGTGCGCGCATATTTCTTGTTGAAAACAACATAACTTCAAAAATTAAATTCAAAGAAAAAAATGAAACTAGATGCTTCAAATTAATCCACCCGGGAGGTTACTGGCCTTCCCCCGTGGGAACTGACGAACAGTTGATGACAATTGATCAACATTACCTTATGGCTTTATATATGGAAAATGATGTGCCAAATGGAACACGATTTAGCGCGCGCAAAAAGAACGTTAGCCAGCAAAAAGTAAAAAAAGCAAAACAAAGCTTCGGAGTGGGATCGAACCCGTAATCTCGTCTCGCTCCGGGAACGAACCACTCGTCCACTCAGCCACGGTTGCACCGAACTGGTCCCGCTAGGAGGCCGCTAAGACCCAAATGAGCACATTTTCAGAGTCTTAAAAAAACTTTAGACGCTTATAACTCCTGGCAGATTGTCATTTAGTAGACCTGGGCATCGAATCGATTCGACTTTTTGAAATTTTTGAATCGTGGCCCATTTCTATTATTTAGCAAAAACGGAATACATATTTGGAGTCAGCATAAAATTCTGCGTCGAATGGTATAGGTTGCATAGCATTTGATCGGCTCAGCCAGTTCACCTTTCCTTGTAAGTTTCAGGCTTTATCATCAAATACTAAAACATATCTCATTTACCTGAAATATTCTTTTGTCAACGACAACTTCTCCAAATTTTCTTCGATTTTTCGAGTACTCGAGCGATCAGTCGGGTTGAAATCACCCATAATCACAATGTTTTTCGGAGCATTCTTCTTCATTTGTTTCAAATCCCAAGAAAGTTTGAAAATCGGCGCATTCGCGTAACTTCGGTACAAAAGAATAAATCTCACACCACACAAATCGATGAAACAATCTTGATGATACAGTTTTCTCTCAGTTTCCAACGAGAGATTTGGATCGGACAGGGTTTTCCTCAATTTTTGCAACTTTTCCGGACGATATTTTGATTGAGAATGCTGACCACTCGTTAAACCATTCGAAAAATTGATGGATTCATTGAAAACGAGCTTTTCTTTGACCAATATCATCAAACCACCCTTGGCTTTTTCTCTTGACAACGGTTTTCCCATTGGATGATTGAAAACACGATATTTTTCTCTATCAATTGTTCTTATTGTTTCGATTTTTGACTCTGGAGTCAAGCCAGTTTCCACAAGAAAACAAACATCAACGTTCAATTGAGCAATCATTTTCTCGGTTGCTGAAATGTTCTTCTGAAATCCTTTTCCAATGTTGTGAAGTAAAATTCGAAGATGATTTGGATTCTCTTCTGCTAACGTTCTTGATATCTCGAGTGATGGATTTAGATATGAAGAAAGCTTTACTTGCAAATCTTTCACAAGTGTAGATAGGATTTCTTTGAAAAAAGTAGAAGAGTCAGTCGATCCGGGAATTTGCGAGTTACATGTTTCGATAACACTTTGAAATGCCTATAATTGTATACTTTTCATAAACGAAAACTATCTAAAATTAGTCATTGCTATTATTTTTTTGAAACAATTAACTTTTGGGAAACAAATTTTATGCTTAACTTTATGAGTGTTTAAAGGCATTTAAAGGAAATTTCAAACCTGGGCCAATTCCTCTTTCGACGGCATTCTTTCAAAAGCAAATTAGCAAGATTGAGCAAAGTATTAGTGTTGTGAAAGGCTCTAGAGGAATGATAGAAGCGTAGAAAACTTTGATAGCTGAAAGTATTCAGAGAGTTTCGAAAATTGTGTAAACTTCCTAAGTGGTTCATAGTCGGGAGGGACAGGTATTTATGGGGAAAACAAGGTTCGAGAAAGGACTGGAAAAGGGGAGAATGGGTGGGAAAGAGGGAAGAAAGAAAGGGGGTGGGGTGAAGAGATTAAGAGGGGGAGAAATTGGGGATGGAGAAAGAGTGAGGAAAGTCGAGAGAAAAGAACAAGAATAGGAGAAAGGAAAAGGGTGAGTTGAGAAAGAAAGTGAAAAGAAATAGAAGAGATGGAGGGGTTGAGGTGAAGCGTTTTGGACGAGAACAATGAGAAAGTGGAAATTTATCCCCATTTGAACGTCGCTAATGAAATTCCTCATATTCAACAACCACCGCTTGTAAATTGTGATCGACATTTGGACATAATGAATTCATTGACATTAATGTCAATGAATGAAATTGAAATGAAATTGTCAATGAAATTGAAATGAAATATAAAGGAGAGTCATTCTTTTCGTAGACAAAACGTTTTGATTCTAGAATGAAACTTTCAGACCAAACTCTTTCGAAACTGTCGGTGACTTTCGCAAAAAGGACATTTAATTCTCACACAATTCTGTTTTCAGCTTTCGGTTTTTGAGAAAATCTTTGTTTATTTTCATCTTATCAGTTATCCGCGAGCACCGATTTTGCGGCTTCTTTTACTTTTTTGCCCCACCACATAACTTTTTAAAGGAGTCATATTTCGCAATCTGATTTGAGATTTTCTGCGACTTTTAGAGACACATATAGAGACGAAATTGGTGGAAAAGAAAAATTTTTCAAGTTGCTTTAAAACCCTAAAATCAAACTCCAGAATAATCGCTGATTTTAGCCGAGAAGATCCATCTACAGTCATGGACAAAAGCCTTTGCCCCTACCGAAATCAGCTTTAAAAACGCGAAATTTTTTAATCAAAAGGTGACCCTACCAAATATTGAAATCCTCCCTTTTTTCTCACTTTTTGTTCTAGGGGTAAAGACTTTTGTCCACCTGTTTTGAGGTTTAAAAGCCTAAAACCAAACTCCAGGATAATCGCTGATTTTAGCCGAGAAGATCCATCTACAGTGATGGACAAAAGTCTTTGCCCCCTTTTCTTGCTGTTTTCTTGCTGTTGTTTCATCATTTTTCACATAACAATGTTTATTATTTTTTAGGCCCCAGGCATGACTAAAATTAAAAAAATAATAAACATTGTTATGTTAAAAATGATAAAATAACAGCACGAAGACAGCAAGAAAAGGGGTAAAGACTTTTGTCCACCTGTTTTGAGGTTTATTTTGTTAACGTCGTTGTGTGTTGCTTGAAATAAAATGTTATTTCTTTTGGTTATGGGATATGAAACTAGAGTAAAAATGCTACAAAATACTTTAGAAACTATTTTTAAAGTTTAAAGCTTGTTAAAAAGTTGAAAAATTTCGCGTTTTTAAAGCTGATTTCGGTAGGGGTAAAGACTTTGTCCATGACTGTATTTTCGATTAGCATTTTGGTAACGATTGTTAAATTTTTCAAAAATCTATCTTCAAATAATCTCAATAAAATAAAGGAGAAATTTTTGAGGCATTTGTTAGAGGATGAAGATTCTCTTCTATATTTGTATTCTCTTCTCTACTTCAATCGCTTTAGAAAAGGTGAAAAATCGAGTGTTGACTTTAGTGAAATTTATTAATATTAGGGTGAACCGAAAGTTTTCTACTTTTTTAATTAAAACTTTCAACATAAATAAAACAACAATGAACGAACTCTAAGCTTCGAAATAAAGACCATTCGAATCTATGACTTGAAGCCATCTATCGGCAAGTTGGTCGATCCCGCACACTCCTTGTTCTTAGAGGCGAAAAACTCGCGGCAGCCTTTTTCGACTTTGCATTGTCCTGCTTTCGATTGACTGAAGTGGCAGCTTTTGTTGATCTTTCCAGGGCATGAAGGTGCGATCAAATCGTGCAACCGGCTCCGCTACTTGCCCGGGATTCAACCACTCACTTTGCTTGTCCGGATTACTAAAATAGACCCACTTTTCATCACAAGTCACAATTTGGCGAATAAAGCCGTCATCGTGCGGATTTTCCAGCAGTTTTCGGCAAGTTTCTACACAATTTTGAGCTTGATTTTCCGGTAAATCATGTGGCACTTCTCGGCAGCTTTGTTGATCTTTCCAGGGCATGAAGGTGCCGGATAACTGATTTTTGAGGAATATCCAGTTCAGCGAAGAGCCTGCGAATGTTGGTTGATGGATTGGCTTCAACAGCGCTGCAACAGGCAACAACAGAGCTTCAGAGTCCACGGTAGTTGGCCGACCCAAACGTCTGATCTGATCTTTGAGACCAAGTTCGCCGTTCTTAAATTTTTGATACCAATATGGCGCAGTATTGTTGGAGATCATTCCTTCACTTTCCACTTGGCATATTTTTTGGCCGCTTCAGTTGCATTGAACCCTTGTTTCCAATAATGGCGCAAAAGTAACCGAATTTTGAATTTTTCCATCTCTTTCCTACAAAGTAAAAAATGAAAAATAAATAGTTAAACACACGAACTTAGTAAAGAGCAGAGCAATATGAAAGAGCAGATCAAATGCTACAAAATAAATATGGCACGTATATATAAAACGAATTTATTAGCTTTAAAAAATTGTTCAAACTTAAAGAGAAAAAAGAGGAAAAAGAAAAAAATAGAAAACTTTTGGTTCACCCTAATATTAGAGGATTTTGAATATACTGTAAATACTCTAATAGAACGCCACCCTCATAATGATGGGTATACAGTCGCTTGGTCTAACTTTGAACGTCCCATTCTCCGCGCTGCATTATGCTTCAGTGTGCGCTTGGGTGTCAAATAATAATGGCGTTCTATCAGAGTATTTACGGTATGTATTGCTTAAATATCTTCTAATTTGCAGAAAGAATTCGTGATCGATGGGAAAGTGTCGTTGGAGGGTTTATGGGCCGAGTTCGAAGAGCTCTTTGAGCCCGGTGCGCCCGGGTCGTTACGCCCGGGTCTTTACGCCTGCTCAGGATGGTTAGTTTCTTTGAATTGTTGGATTTAAATTCTTTACCTGATATCTAGGTGCAGATGGGTGACAATTTTGAAGGGTCCCAAGTTCCCTTGTGACTGTACGTGGAAGAATCGAGAAGGAAATATAAAGTTCGCGAAATTTCTCCGGGAACTCGCCTCCGCTATTCATTTATTCTACCATTTTGAGCCATTTGAGGTGGGCAAAAACGTTTTCACACAATTTTCTTTAAACAAAAGATCTACTAGTCTAATAGTATTATAAAATGATCAGTTATTCTATTCGATTTTTGAGTTTTCACAAAAGTGTAAATTTTCGGTTCTTTTGGGGCTTCCGGGTACATATTTTGAACACTTTTTTGGTCATTCTTGTGTGAGAGTTAGCAAAATTCTTTTAGATTTGCAATTAGCGACAAATTTTAAATCAAAATTTACAAATTTTAAACCTTGATTTGCAAAGTTATGAGCTAAAAGTATGAAAGAATGTCAATAATACCGGTAACTCAATAAGAGCTGAATTTTGATATCAAAATTTGAAGAATTACGGAACCTGATACATCTCAGAAAGCAATTACATCAGTTTGACATCGTTTGACACCTCATCGTTTGACAACAATAACTTCTTTTTACGTGAATCGTTAGAATCGTAAGAAAAAAAAACCCGATTGCTTTGTTCAGGAATCAACGACTTCACCGTCAGAAGATTGGCAGCTCAACCTTAGTCCATTAATCTTTTCAATTACTCACTTTTCACAATGTGCTATGGAGTCGTGTCAAAAATATTGGTTGAAGCCATGTGAGTGCCAATTGGTCGATCGTGAAGTGGAGCTGGGAATAGCCAATGAAATGCTCAGCGTGGCAAATCTTATCTTTCACCACTACGGTATCAGCGATACTCAATGAATTTTGTGTTTTTCAAATAAACAGATAACAAATTTTCTTCAAATGTCCAAGATGAAGACACGAATCCCAGATTTCAACAAGTTCAACTCCAATCCTGGAAAAAGTTATGAGGTGGGGCAAACAAGTAAAAGAAGCGTGAAAATGGTGAAAACTTTGGCAGACCGCCGGCAAGCCACTCTATCCAATCGGAACAACCTGTTCGGCTTGTCCAACCACCACCGCTCCATGCATCGCGGTCACTGGACTTTGTGTTGTCAAAACCACTGCTAGTTAATAAAATTGGTCAAACTCTAAAGCTGATGAGAATGAAGGCATTTAAAAAAATGTCTCAGGCATAAACCCAGGAACGAACTGCAAGAAGCCCACCAGTGCAACACTCTTACCTGACTACACTAACTCATCTACTGTACGAAATGAAAAAAACCTTGTAGAATATAAATTTTCTGTATTTTGAACACTAGTTTTACTTTGCTTTTGTAAGCTTTAAAGCTCAAAAACTAAAACTTTTTCAAATTCACTCATTGGCAGAGATTGTCAGCGATTGCATCGTGGCTGGAGGGAGAAGGCCGAGCTTTTCTATTATCCGGCGAATTTCGAGAATTACTTGAAAATCTTGAAGCCATCGATAAACTGGAAATCGCTCTACATTTTGGTATCTTTAAATCAATATACAGGGTGTTCCACAATTAATGGTACCGAATAACTAGCTTAAAAAAACTTTTTTTAGTATAAAACTTGTGATGGAACTTTTATTTTTAACAGATTAGATAGTAAAGTAATGGAAAAGCACCAACTATTAGATATATCCTCCTTTCGCGTTGACACAGAGCTGAAGGCGCTTCGGAAAGTCGTCGACCGTGGCACGCAAGTAGGGGAGATCCAATTCATCCCATGCTTTTTGAAGAGCCTTCTTCAAAGAACCAAACGCTTTGTGCGGTTTTTTGACAAGCCTTAGCTTCTAATACCGCCCAGACGCTGTAGTCGAGAGGATTTAGGGCAGGGGACATTGGTCGCCATTCGTTGAATCCGATAAAGTCTGAAAAATTCTTGTCACACCAATCCTGAGCAGTGTCTGTCCATTTTTCACAAACCGGTTTATATAAACCTTTTTCGAAGCCTGGTTCGCTCAACCTCCGCTCAGTCTCATTGACTCACTTTACATCAAGCTGACAATGTTTAGTTTAGCAAAAATCAGAGAATTTAGAGAATGTGATTTTAGAACAAAAACACTAATGGTAAAATGAATATTATGCAATTGCCATACAAAGCTCAAAATAATCAGCTAACAATTTATTGTAAAAACGAGTATGAAATCGATAAATTATTGCGTTTGTCGTCGAACATTTCGTTCCCACATTTCATAATCGTCTTTTGTCGGGTTTTCCGGTATCAGTCCTACCGAATGTTTATGCAATTGTGCATAGAAATACCAATGAAGATGCTCTCGATAAAGACTTTCGATTGTTTCATCGACGAGATCATCAACAGAGTCGCCTCGATGAAAATCGAAACCCTGAAAGAGAATATGCTCCAATCGTTTCTCTTTGTAAATTTGAGGAATTTTTGCGTTGAATTGGTCCAAACATTGGCGAGACGACAGTGAGCGTTTCTTCAGATATTTCTCCTTTGCTTCGTTGGCTCTTTTTGTGATATCGAATTCTTTCAAAAAACATAAAGGCCTCTTATCATCGTTTCCAAGGAAAAGTTTTCGAATTGGTTTTGGTTGTTTTGATGGAATTGGAGAGTTTTCAGCAGAATTTAGACCCATGTCGACAGTGAGATCGCCGAAGAAATCGAAATCAACCGTGTTCTCAAGTGTGGTTTTTGGTTGATCGGATGCTATCTAAATTTGGAACATTTTAGCCTTTTAGACAATAAAATTTTTGCTTTCTCGCACTTATCAATTAAAACTGACATGAGGTGAAGGGGCTAATTGAGCTATAAATTGTGGCCATTAGATGTTGTATACACTACTGGACAATGAAATATCATATTTGAAAAACGATCGTCACTTTTGCGCGTCTGTAACTCTCTTGTCTTTACCGTATTTCTAAATATTGATATTACCATTGTGTAGCCCTTGAAAAGAGCTTTCAGAAAATGTATAACACTAATAGTTTAAACGCGAAGACAAGGGAGTTACAGATGCGCGAAAGTGACGATCGTTTTTCAAATATGATATTTCATTGTCCAGTACTGTATATGCTACGTCTGAATCCGACCAGCTCTCCGGATTAGATCCGAACGCCCGAATCCCGGCTGAGTGTGGTCGAATTCGGAAGTCCGAATCCGACCAAACTCAAGATAAATGCTAATTGATCACTCTTGATTCGTCGAATTTTTATAATTTTTCAATCACGATAGTTTCACCTAAACAAAATTTAAGCTGTGCAGAAAAGTAGCTCTTTTCTGTGAAATCTTATTTGATGTTTTGATTTTGAATATCTCTGATTCTCTTGTCCTTCCTCTAAAGATCGTTTTGTGTGATAAAAGGGACGGAGGCCGCTTTGTATTGCTTTTCTTTTGGCTTTGAAGCACTGAACCAACGATTGATTCTATTTTATTATATTTTCTCGCTAGATTAGTAATTGTGCTGTATTCTGAATAAATATCTAATAATCATTGCCCCATCGGTACCCTCTCACGCACTGCACATAAGCTAAAAAGTTTAAGAAATATTGTTTGTGAATTTCCAATAACTTTTTTAAAATCTCCACCCATGTTCGCTAAAAAATGTTTATTTCATTCCGAACGCGTTTCTTAAGAATTCACCCTTTTTTAAAGTTTTTGCTCATTTTTGCTTTCTCTTCTTTGTAGACATGTAGTAGGTAATGGTGTTTATAATTAAACTCTAATATTATATTTTTCTTTTTAGGTCATCGATCTTCAGAATGACGGTCGCTTTTAACGAGCGATTTGAGAAATTCGTGCAAGAGCAACACAGTTGAGCTTTCCCGACTAATGCAGGGTATGTGAAGAGGATCGAAACGCTTTAATCAACGTCAGTCAATTGGAGGATCAACTGAGGAACCAAATCTTCACCGGCATTTCTCTCTATTCAGCGAAAACGGGACCACAATTCTTCTTCATCATGGTGATGGAGTTCAGTAAAACGACGAGAAGAAAGTCATCAAGCGTGAGGACCTCTATGAATTGCTTCGACAAAAACATTCAACGCTTATTTTGGCTCTTTTCGATTTCAGGATGACGCTTTTAGTAACATTCATTATTTGGAGTAACATATTAAACTGAAACAAGAAACCCCTTTTTCTCAAAGCATACAATGATTTTTAAGTCATCCTGTAAGTGAAAAGAGCATTTGTTTAAGTTGATTGTTGTTTGACTTTGACTTTGTTTTTCATTCAGTTTCTTTGTTGTATATTGAAATTCATGCAGCTGCTAACTAATTTTATCACTGTTGTTAATGTTTGTTTTGCGGATAAAGATGTGTTTATGCCAATCAATACACGAAATCTTTTGAAAATTTTAAAGATCGGAGCCAAATCGGAACCGAACCGGAACATATGGGAATCGATTGGGAACCTAATCAGAACCCAATGGGAACCGTATGGGAATCGAGTCGGAACCGAATGGGAAGTGAATTGGAACCAAATCGGATCTCAGTTTTTGATAAAGGCTAACCAAGGTGCAACAATTGTGTAAGTGGCTTACAAGAGGTTCGTCTATTAGAGGAAATACTCCTTTTAATAATTATTTTTAGTAACTTTGACCAATTAGCATTAAAAGTGAATTAATTAGCATTTTTCTTGAGTGCGTTCGGATTCGGACGTCCGAAACCGACCACAAGACAATCAATGGTCGAATACGAACGTCCGGATCTGATCCGGGCGCCTGGTCAGATTCGGACGTAATATACCGTAAATCCTCTATTGTTCGGTGCCCATTTTTCGGATTCCCAAAAAATTACATAAGGGGATACCACATTATTGAAAAAAAAAATGATTTTTGCTTAAATGACGACTCTAACTCGATTTCTTTCGGTCTAAAACATACGAAAAACTCATTTAAAACAAAAGTAATGTCCTTGGTCCTACCCCCGGATGTCCGATCCTCCTAAATCCCAAATCCCTGTGGTCCCCCTTATGATTTTTTCTCAAAAAATATTCAGTCAAAATTTTTCCCAGGATTGATTTGAATTTTACTGCTATGACTTTTAAATCATAATTAGAACTCATATGCATCATTTTAAGCACTTTCGGAGAAAATTTCGGAAAAAGTTGGATCTCTAAACTGTCAAAATTAGCATTAGGAGGTGCCGCTCTAATAGAGGATATATACACTGAAACGATTGGTTATTAAGCGAAGTAATTGACTCAATCAATACAGGAGAATGGTTTCAATGTAAACCCGGATCACCGCTGTTTGCTTACAAGAGTTTACTGGCTAACGTGTCCGTAAGGAGTGCTTGTTTTTGAGTCAACGAGTCGTAGTACCAAACATACGACTTAGAAACTTAAAGCCGACTGAATATTTGGGAAATTAAGTGAAAAGCTATGAATGTCAGTACTATGGATGACAAAGTCAAGCATTTACTTTTTACATACGCCAATCACAACGTCACCTACTTTCACATCATCTTTGACTTTTGGTCGAATCAGCTGATATTTTGAATCGTAGACGTGAAATTTGTTTGGTAGATAAACCTTTTGCACGTTCATATCCACAGAAATATAGGGAGAGTTGAGCTAAAATAAAAATTGAAATCGAAATTTAGTAGCTCGACAAACGGGCAAAGCTTTCAGTGCTTTAAAGGCCTCGATCGCCGAGCAGCGCTCACTTCGTAGAAGATGAATGCATCTGAAAGAGATTATTGAAGCCATTTCTTGATTTAAAGAAAGATTCTTGCAAAAAGCAACAATCACTTTTCCACTATCGATTTCAGTTGTTCATCGTCACAATTTGGGACAACAAACGGTTTAACGGCACAATGCATTTTTGCTTTCACCCTTGCACAATGGACTGTTTCTCCGTCCTCATCGTTGCAGTAGCGTCTGGAAATCGGATGGTTTTGATGAGATTACTTTATGATACTCTTATTTTGTACCAAATTGACCTATTTGACTAATTTGATACTTTAAAATTTACATTGGGACTTGGGAATTCGTCACTCTAAACGAAAAGAAAAGAGTAATTGAGATTATCAAAAAAAGCCATGGTGTACTTTAGAAACCGATTTTTGTACGCTAAAACTGAAAAAGTAACAGTATTCAAGGTTTAGCAAGCAAAAATCCTTTTCTAAAGGGCACCTTTTTGACATTTTAGTAACTGCAACCCTCAAATGCAGACAGTAAACTTCAGTCAAGCAATCAAGTACCTAATGTACCAAACCAAGCTCAATAAATACTTGAAACTATCACGAAACTCTCTCTGAATCAACTCGTAGATGACCAATCCCATCCCATAAACATCATTCTTCTCGTGTACCCATGTCGTTTTCAACAACTTCTCCGAATCTTTCATTTCCCCATCTCTATTCTCGATTCGTTGCTCAGGACTTTTATATCTCGGAGATCCCAATGATGGCCATTCTTCGACCATCTTTGAACAAGTATCAAAATCGCCGAGCTTCATCACGAAATGCTTTGTGACGAAAATGCTGAAAGGAATGGTTTACAATATTGATCGAGCTTTATGCAAATTAGTTACTGTAGTTTTTATTCTTACTAACTTGCTCGGTTTGATGTCTCGATGAATGATTGAATGAAAATGGAGATAGGTCAACGCATCGAATAATTGGATTGACCAATAGATGATCGTGTCGAACGAGAAGACGAACTGGGGACGATCTCGGACTGAATTTGAGTGAATAAATCAAGCAGTTGTAACTTTAAGTTTAAAAGGACAATAAGAAAGTAAGGTGAGAGTAACTACACCTTTCCCTAAGGAAAGAGTAGTATGACTTGTAGGGTAAGGTGCAGAACCTAGCTTCGAGACCTTTTCCTAGACTAGGCAATTGCTGGGGGCGATCCCTCCTCACAAGGGAAGTGGACAAAGTTAAGGTGAGCTTTTGAATCGAGACTTAGATCATTCTATGCAGAATTTCAATTCCGATTCCGTTAGTTTTGTTACTTCACTTTTTATCATCAATGTTGAGCTGTAAATGTTTCATTTTGTTTATAAACTTTAATATAAAAAAATTCCAAATATGATACCTTCCGAAATATAAAAATAAAACAAAATTAAGTGTTAAAACATGAAAATAAAAAGAGAAACAAAGGATGGAGTTGAACCCAAGCAAAAGAATGAAAAAAAATGGTTTCGTGTGGGGTATGCTGCCAGTCCACGTTTAGCTGGCACTGAAGAAGCCTTATGAGGGGATCCCATTTCGGAAAATTTCAAAATTTCATTTTTTTGGCTACAAATTTTAAAAGTTTGTAACTTTTTATAGAGAGCCATTTTGCAAAAACGAAAAGCACATTCGGAATCAGCGTGAAAATCTGCATCGAATGGTCTGGGTCTCGGTCAAAAAGTGCACCTTAACTTGGTGTACTCACTTGTCAGTAGAAATTCAAACAAAAAGAAGTCTCAAATTAACAAGCGGCATCTTCAAAGGCAAAGTGGAGTTATAAGCGTTAAAAAAGATTAGAGGTTGGTAAATAATGGCCAAAAAGAGTAATAGAGTCGAAAGGACGAACTCAACGACGAACGAACTAGGGGGATATTCTGAAAAATGAAGCCGCTTATAACATGAATCTATGATCAATGCAACTAACTGTGTCTCAAATATGCAACTAACTGTGTCTCAAATATGCAACTAACTGTGTCTCAAATATGCAACTAACTGTGTCTCAAATATGCAACTAACTGTGTCTCAAATCCCTTGCATCCCCATGAGAGCAATACTCCATCACAATCCCAAAGTCATCGTCACCATAGTTGAAAAAGCCGAAATAGCTAACGATATTCGGATGGTATAATCTCTTCAGAATTTTGTGCTCTTCTCGAAATCGTTCCCTTTCTTCGGCTTGATTCTTGTTCAATTGATTCTGAGAAATTAAGCCATTGTTTTGGGAATTTTTTTTCCTTTTCGTCACAGCTGGGCTAAATGATAATCATTTTAAAAGGCTATAAGTTAATCTTTTCGATAATCATGTTAAATTTTAATAGGTTTTAATAGGTTTTCTTAAAAGTTTGTTTTAAAAGTTCAGTTTTTTTTTCAGTTAGCTGGTTTTCCGTACAAAAAAAGAAGGATTTATGGTTAAACTGAATAAAGTACAAGCTTTTAAAAGCTTTAAAATTAAAATTACTGATCATTTTTATTTCAATTCTAGTAGATTTTCTTAAAAGATAAAAACTTTTTTCTTTGACTGGTAAAAGTTGCTCATTTGGATGATTTTTGGGACTTCTTTGCTACTTCAATATACTGGGTTGGCCAATCAGTAATGAGTCATACGTAAGAAAGGAAATTTTGCCGTAAAGTTTTAGTTGCCTCTCAGTGTTTACCACGAAAAGAGACAACAGAAAAATTCCTTATTTCAAAACACTTTCATTGATTTGACATGCTTTCTTATTTCTTTATTAACTATTTCTTTTTTCGATTAGTGCAAATTTGCCAAATTCGCATATTCAGCATGTAATGCTATTTGGGTTTGCTAAGTGCTCATCTTCAAGCCTAGCTTTAGAGTATATGGTCATCTGATCATAAGAAAAGTATATACCGGTATTTTCTCTAATAGTAGTGCACCCAAGCGAGCCGAGTTGATGACTATTTAACGGCTTCCAAAGTTTTCAGAGAAGCTCAACACTTTAATCTCCCACAAGATCTCATCGTCAGCTACATTTTCCGACCCCACATCGATAGGTTCTGATAAGCGGTTCTCGAGATTTCGACCAATTTAGACAAAGCTTAGGTATTTTGTAGAAAGTTCTCAGTAATTTTGTACTCGTTTTCAAGAGGAGATTCAGGGCTATCAAATGACTATAATAATTTAGTTGTTCTTTTAACTTATACTAAATTATCAATAAAACAACTGACGGCTATGTGACAGTGTTCAAAATAAATTTTTGGTTGATTTAATGGTGAGCAATCCGTTAATGCTAAACGCATTTCCAACTTTGTTCAAAGTTTTCACAAAGGCTCAACACTCAAATCCCCCACAAGATCTCATCGTCAGCTACATTTTCCGACCCCACATCGATAGGTTCTGATAAGCGGTTTTTGAGATTTCGAGCAATTTAGGCGACGCACAGGGTGCACTACTATTAGAGAGTATTGAATAGAAAATAAGATCTTGAAAAAGATGGAAACTATTTTGATTGATTTAGATGGCTTTATTGAAAAAGTATTTCTGTTTGAAATTGACTCATTACTCGGCCAAACCAATAACTTATACTTGAATCTACTTGAATCTATTTGAATATAACTTTAGAGATTATAAAATTCATGGAAGTTCTAAAAGTTTTTCAATAAAAACTCACGGAACATGACAAATCTTTTGAATGACTCCAAATGCGCCTTCTCCTGTGATGTCAAGTTGGTTGTAGTGTGTCTCGTGATCTCGGAAAAGATTCGTGTAGTCTTTTTCTTTCATCGATTCTGATAGTTAGATATTAATGATGTAACAAATAAACAAATAAATATATAAGATCGTCCATGACGATTGAAAAAACAAAGTTTGATCGAACCAAATGTTTATTGACAGATCACAAAAAGACTTCCGTTCTTTTTCAGATATTCGTGACTGCTCTTCGTTTAATAGCGCGCTCCAGCTACCGTACCCTTGTCGCCGTCAAGCAATGCGCGTATATAAGACCATTTTAGCCCTTTTTTTCATTTTAATTGCGCGGAATGGGATTGTTTTATTTTGTAAATTTATTTTTTTTTGTTTTTCTAATTGTAAGGTTCTTTACTTATTTACTTATTTACTAAAAATGTGAAGATTAACGCAAAAGTCTATCAAAAAGAGATCCTCGAGAAAGCTGTGGTTCGAAGTGGCCTCCATCCGCTTTGATACAGGCTTCAAATTCGCTTCTTTACAGAATCGACGGTGCGGCGGAGATAATTTGCATCTAAGTCGTTCCAGATTTTGATCAATTCTCGACGTAAATCATGCAAATTCTTGATTTTCCTATTTCTCAATTGTTCTTCCATAAAACCCAAAACCAAAAAGTCCAACGGATTGAGATCCAAGCTGTTTGCAGGCCATTGATCCTTCGTAAAAAAAGAACCAATTTTGGTTTCGAGAAAGCGAATTGTTGTTTTGGCTCTGTGGGCCGGCGCCCAATCTTGTTGAAGGGTCAAATTGGGATGGCTCCTCTTCCACGGCACCACAGCTTTCTCGAGGATCTCTTTTTGATAGACTTTTGCGTCAATCTTCACATTTTTAGTAAATAAGTAAATAAGTAAAGAACCTTACAATTAGAAAAACAAAAAAAAAATAAATTTACAAAATAAAACAATCCCACTCCGCGCAATTAAAATAAAAAAAAAAATGGGTAAAATGGTCTTATATACGCGCGTTGCTTGACGGCGACTAGGGTACGGTACCTGGAGCGCGCTATTAAACGAAGAGCAGTCACGAATATCTGAAAAAGTAAGTAAGTTAGCAAGAAACACTCCTAAAGTAAACTTTATTACCCTTATTGACAACAAATTTCGGTAGAAAAATTTGCATTTTATCATTGAGTCGGGTTCGACAAAGTCTTGCATTTTCTCAAGCAACGTTTCTGCCGTTCAATCGTCGACTTTCGTAAAAAAGTGCAAATATTATAGGATTTGAGGCGTTTGAGTACATTTATTGGAATTTAACCGGATTTATGCATGGATCTTTTGTTTAGTAATAGTACCCAAATTTCAAAGTTTTGTTTGCCAGACACCAAAAGATAGCGATGTCAAAATTTCCGCTGTAAATCATGCAACAAATGTGCCTCTAAGCTTTTCGAAGTTGGTGATTGAGCAAGGTATCGAAAAGGATTCGATGTCAAACTAGTTGTTGACCCGGAAAACAGTTCATCTTCATGGAAAACTTCAGAATTCATGTCATTTACATCAATTCTCTCGAAATCGGAACCTTCTAAGAAGTCGGGCAATAAAAATTGAGCATCCGACGATAAACGCCGACGTTTCTCACGTATTTGAGAGGGATTTTCAAAGAAATTTGTGAAAAGCTCTGTCGTTTTTAGGCTTTTCTCATCTTTTAGAATCAATCCATTCATATTTATATCTATTGCTATGATCTCTTTTGTTTCATTAGCTTCAAAGCGGCTGAGAAGTCGATGACAAGTCGATGCTTCGATCGTAAAGAAATTAAGGTGAAAATCGAAGCATGGAATCCTTTCAAAAGGGTGATAAAGCTCTGGGTTATCCAGTAAAATGATAGCTTGATCATCGAATTTTTGATTTTTTGAAAGATATAAAAAAAGGAAATAGTTTGCATCATCAAGATCTTTGATTTCATTGATCAAATTGAGGTGATCTGTGTCCAGCCGTCCGTCCACTAACTCGTCCAATTCACGACAAAATTCAATATAAAATTCGAGGTATTCGATCGATTTTTGAGTTGAATTTTGGCAACAATTGAAGCGTTGAAGAGCTTCATCTGTTTCTTTTGGTAAGCTGATCATTTCACTCAGCTCACATTTAGGCTCATGACGACAGAGTGGGATTGGCGGTGTCTTTAGAGAGAAATAATAGCCAAGCTTTGGGTATCGAATGCCTGAATACTTTGCGTTAACGAAATTGTACAAGTCGGGGATTTGGGATTTGTCGATCGACTGAAATTTGAGTTCGATTAAGCGTTTTAGACGATCTTTTGCCTTTTCCAAAGCGCCGATCACTTGATTCACTTCAATGTACATGATATCATTAAAAATCAACTTTTCATAGAAAGAAAAGCTTTCTAGATCTTCAAACTTGTTAATTTGATGTTGTTTTATGTTTTTGAAACTTTTTGCTTGTTGGTAAGCCTTTTTGGTCTCTTCATTTGATAAATTCACCCGAACCAATTCATCACCTTGCGCTTTTTCCATCCATTTCCCAGGAATCACTTCAACCATCGTCAAATCATCTTTAATAAACCTATTATAAGAAAAAGGCTTCGATGAATGAATCAAATTCCCTTTCTCTACCAGCAACCAACTTTCTTTCGATCCGATTGTTGTATAATGATCGAAACCGATCTTCTGAGTGTACATCGACGTCACAAAAACATTGAATCTTGTCAATGCTTGGCACAGCTTATTGTACAAACCCCAATCCTCAAAATGGACCCGTTTCAGCTTCTCTATCAGTGAAAAAGCTTTAATGTACTCGTCGAATTGAGCTTTTCGATGCCAAAAGACGATTTCTTCGATCAATCTTTCTTCTTTCCCTTCACTCAACTCTTTTGCGTTAATATTGCCGACATGACATTGTTTCAATAGCTTTTTTCGTAGAATCTCTTGTGTTCTCTTCATAAACTCGATCTTCTCTTTTGTGTCCAATTTCTCGAAAAATTTCTCGAAATTTCTCATGGCTTCTTTGAAGTTTTCCATCGAATCACCATATTCGCAGAGATTTGGATCGGTGTTGACACGTTTACGGGTGTAGTTGCAACTGAAAGCTTTTGAAAACTAGATTTTGATGTAATAACTTGGTTTTTTGATCTCTAGAAATGTAAAAAAGGTTTAGTGTTATTGCTATAAGCTATACAAGAACTAGCTATACAGAAGTGGCATCGTGAAAACTAGAGCGTATTTTGTCTAACAACAGCTTTGCCTAACATCATATTATATACTCGATATTTCAATATTAATATAGAAAATGTCTCTAGTATCTACTGTCAAGAAATGAGGAAAAATCTATGGTGAATTGAAAGAATGAGGTCATGGTAAAGTCGCGGGTATTTCATACGGTGCAACCTAGGAAATGTTGATGTAATAACTTGTTTTTCTGACCTCTAGAAATGTAAAAAGGTTTAGTGTTATTGCTATAAGCTATACAAGAACTAGCTATACAGAAGTGGCATCGTGAAAACTAGATTTTCCTATTTCTGTTTTAGAGCCAAGTGTTTTTTCTAAAGCTCTAGAAGAAAATTTGCCTAACAACAGCTTCTGTTCGACTGCCAATCAAACATTATTCAATTTTGAACAAAAAAAAGCACTGATAGTCTCTAGTAGACGGGGAAATTCCAAACAGAACCTAATTCCACCTTCGTTTTTTCAGCCGTCTTTTGGCCGATTGTTCTGAAATTTTGCTTACAAATAGAAATTGGCATTCTTTGCTTGTAGACAAAATTTCAGAGCAATTGGCCAAGAGACAACTGAGAAAACAAAGGTGGAATTAGGTTCGGGTTGGAATTTTCCCCATGTCTAGTCTCTAGTGACACAGTTGCTAAGGTGGCTAGCAATGTTTTTGACGAACAAAGCACTGTCGTTGTTCTAGCGCTTTAACATTTTAGTTTTTATTTTATCAAACTAGTGGGCTAAAACAGAGCCACTTCTACGGTTTTACTACTACTGTTTTACTTTATAAACGCTACTTATAAACACTTGTTGATACCGATTTGCTTTGAACTCTTCTGCCATAGTTGGAGACTTGAACTCATCATTTTTCACTTCACTCTCTTCATCATCCCCATGAACATCTATTGAATCCATCCGTGTCCATCGTGGTCTTTCTCCAAACTGATCTTGGTCAAATGGCGACGAATAGGGTTGTTGATTTATAGGAAAATCGAAAGAAAAACTCGGTGGCGTTAAATCGAAAGAAGAATTCGCAAAGTATCCATCGAAATTGAGCTAAAACTTTCTTTATTTGTAAATCTTTTGTATCTTCGTTGTATCTTCATTGTATCTTCATTTTAATGTAGTCAAACTACTACTTAATGACTAGTTTTAGTTTAAAAACTTAAAAATCCTTTAAAAAAACCTCCCTTCGATTATCTGTGCGAAAAAATTGAGCATAATTCACCTGATCTTTTTCGTATTTTTCTCTAGAAGATCTCGAGTTTGTCGAATTTCTTGAGAAACAACGGAATAGAGAAGAAAATTTCATGCAAATAAAGAAATCCTTTTCGTTTTCTTGATTATCAGCTTTTAATCAATAAAGCTTCACTTTTATGTTGAAGGAAAAGAGAAAAAGGTGATTTTTCTTTATCAAATGATCGACTATTTGATAAGGGATTAGCTAGAGAAAAGAAAAACCTTGAACCATTTGATTGTGGAGGGATTAGAGATGTGTAAAATTGGCTTCGATGGTGATTTGATTGTTGGAAGAAAATGCTTTTTAACATTTCAGATACACATTTTTTCAATAGGGAAACTTTCCCAAACTAAAAGCTTTCATCTAAATTGTCTGTATAATAAAATAACGAAATTTTTAGGCGCCTAGGCGATTTTTCGTGCGCCTAAAAGTGCGATTTTTTCGATAAAACGCGATTTTAAAAAATCGAGTCAGACGAATTTCGATAATTTCTTCACCATTCGATTCAGCACAACTTTCTGCGTCGAATGGATACGAAATAAGCGGATACTCTAGCGTAAAATTCTGATAGAGAACGGTTTTTTTTGCGTTATTTTGCGCGGATTTGCGCCTGCTCATTTCCTCTGAACTCTGAACTGTCAAAAAGCTAGGTTTATAGCCAAATTTTCAAAATAATCTTTTTATTTTTGAGCCAAAATCTTGAGCCAATCACCTTTTATCGAATTTTGTGCTCGGATTTAGCCTCCAAACATCTAAAACTACTGTAGATACTATGTTTCATTTATTTTTACAGTATTACACTTACAATTTGTAAGTTTTTATACCCTACTGTGATACTAGGGTAAAAGAATATGGTAATCTAACTAACAGTAACTCTTTTGTACAATAATTTGCATTAAAGCAATTAAATAAATCAAATAAATCAAATCAAATCATGCAATCAAATCACAAATTTCTTTAGTCTAGCGACTAGTCAGTTCACCATTAACACCTCTAACAAAAACTTTAAGCAAATAGATTTATTTATTGACAAAGAAACATTTTGCATCATTATGTCAAATGATCAACTTGTTGTCCAAGGTGATTTGGTGAAGCTAAAAGAAAATCGAATAAAGATCGAATGAAAATCGAATGAATTGGGTAACAGAGCTAGAGATTTGCTCTCTTGGGATGTACAGAATGATCCAGAAATGATAGCGACTTGGAAAGAAGTCGCCAAAAGTCCTTTTTTGGAAAAGTTGCTGGCAAATGCCTGACTTACGCTTGAAAAATGGCAGATCGCTGGAGGGAGGTCGACTTTCGCTCATTCAAGAGCTTGTAAAATGAGTTGTATAATTCGAATCGAAAAATTCTTTGTAGATAAATGATGCGAAAATGAAGGGCTTTCTTTTTCGATATAACACTTGACACTTCAGTAATAAGTCAGGCGTTTGACAGCAACTTTTCCAAAAAACGACTTATGGCGATTTCTTTCCAAGTCGCTAAAAAAGGTGTCGCCTTAATTCGTGCTGCACTCAGCACACCCCCTTTCTGTACCCATTTCAGCAGTTTCAACCTGATTTTCTGCTTATTTCTTTACCTGGAAATCTCCCTCAATTTTAATCTTCCCCAGATCCCTCGTTGCTGGCCGATGTTGAAAAGTAGTGAAATATTTCCCGCCAAAGTAAAGCACCAAACCGTCGTCATTGTTGAGAATCGTGAGATCAACGCTAAATTTCTTTTTGAGCTTTGAGCTTAACTTTAAAAGATGAAACAAAGATAGAGATAAAGAAAATAGATGAAGCAGATACTTAAATTTAGCACATGAAACAATCTAGTCAAATTCAAATGAAATAAAAGTAAATCAATACTGGCTTAGAAGAGCCAAGATTTCCCTGTCACTCAATCGTAAAAACGAGACTCGTAAAGGCGAGAGATGACTCTCTTCGACGACGAAACGAACGGTCATCGATTTTACGACTCTTTTACCCCCAAGAATAATAAGAGAACACTTTGAAGTGAAATGGTCAGTTGCAAGAGACAAATTCTAACTTCTTTTAAAGCCTTGAAGAAATTATAATAAAACAACAACTGACTGGTTGTCAAAAGCAATTGGAAAAATGATTAGCTGTGTTTCTCTTGATTGAAGGCTTGGGTTTTGTTTTTAACTATTTTTTTGGGGCTTTTGAAGATTTGCAAACAGTTTTTGGAGCAAAAGATGTGTGCATTCGAATCCAGAGCTAAACCAGCCGAACTTTTTCCGGGAAAATTAGTTACCCAGTATCTAGATCAGAGCCAGACAAATTAAAATAAATCATTTATCAATAATTTATCGGGTTTCCCGGTCAGTTGCAGCTTTGGTTGAGTCTCTTCAACTCTCCCTATAACCCGATCTACCCTATGCACCTACATTTTCCAATTGTCAATCGGAAACTCTCCATCTCTTTCCTCGTTTTCCCATTTTCCATTTAAAAATGTATTCCTCACAATCACTCCTTCTTCGAAACGGATTGAGATCTAAAGTAAAAACAGTTTTCAACGAGAACAATATGAAACCAATCATCTCAAACCTGAAAGGCTGGCTTCTCCTCAGAAGACAAAAAAGTGATGTCAAAGCGTTCACCTAAAATATCAATTTGTTGTTAAAATCATTTCCAACTGAGTGGAATCTCCTCATCATTTGAAGAAGAAGCTCGTCTTGATTGCTTGAAGAAAACTGTTGAGGCACAAGTTCGACAACATCCGTTACAATAATATCCACAGCTATAGCAACTTGATTGGTACTCGGATTGACCGTTGTAGAGATAACTGGAATGATTGGAATGATTGAAGTGGATAAAGTATAAAACCTGTAACTGGGTACCCGAGTGTTGAGTAGATAGCCAGTGCCAAAACCTGTACCAAATCCGACGGCGAATGGCTGCCAACCTGAAGGTATCGATTACGGGTACTGTAACTAGTAGTTAGCTGTAAGTACTGTAAGTACTGTAAGTACTGGTACTGTAAGTAGTTAGCTACGGATAAAATTAAGGTCAAACCTTTTGAATTTTATTCAATAATATTACCTTTCAAAGAATTCCTCTGTCGTGTCTGATATTGTCGATATGCTGGCGTCATGAAGTAATCCCCGTACAGATAACGCCCATTTCGTTGCCCAAACCATTTCGGTTTCTCGTAGTTGTCGTAACTTCCACCAGATGAGGATCCTAAAAGAGTTAGCTAGACTTGGAGAACCATTAACGTTAGCTAGACTTGGATAACCATTAGTCATTAAGCCTTGGTGAATACAGGGTTTAAGAATAAGCATTCTTAGGGTAAAAATAGGCAAAGATTTCAAATTTGAACTCCTTTTCTCTAACTTCATTAGTCCGAGCAGTACAAATGATTCTTGGAGATGGGACAGACTTTTCACACACCCTGACATTGTTACCGTTAACTGTTAGTCTAAGCCTAGTCTTTTTTACTTTGACTAGGCTGTCTTACCACTGGACCAGCCACCGGATGAATGCGATCGATACGATGAACGATACGACGATGATCGATAGGATGAAGATCGATATGAGCTTGAAGAGGATGAACTGGAGGAACGAGATGAGGATGAAGAGGAGCGGGATGAGGATGAAGAAGAGCGGGATGATGAGGAACCACGAGATGATGAGCTCCTGAAACGGGATTTTTCAAAATAAGGACCTTGGGCAGAAGAGATGGGCCCAGTTTAGGGTGTCTAAATTGAAGGGTTCTAATACTTACAGTTAATACCATATACTTATACTACTTATAGGTATACTTATAGTTTCTAATAGTTATAGTTAAAATAAAATTCTTTTAGTTAACGAGTTCAGTCTTCAGTCGATTCTACTTGATCAATCGACAAAATTGAGTTTTTTGTTTGTACTTCTTACTTTTTCTCACTTCTTTTAAACACTCAAAAGTGTCCAGATTGTTTCAAAGACAAGATCAGATCAGATCAAGCAAGTTTATGAGGTTTTTGTCTGGTTTAGTGTATAAGATGTTCAATATTTATGGAAACTATTGAGCTCATTGGTCGTTTAGCGCTCTCAAAATTGGTTTATGGCAAAAATCTTCAAGAAAGCACTGCATAGGGGTTGAAAAAACTCGAGTTTCTAGATTATTTTTACAGTTTACGAAATTTGATAATCGAAAAGTCGATTTATCAGAACTCGATCACTAAATTTGACCGAAAGGAGTCAGATTCCAGCGTTGTTGTTCTTGTTGTTCTTGTTTAACGATGAGAAAGTCTTCACTATTTAACAGTTTTCCATCTACGAGATATTAAAAATGTTAGAAACACATTTCAGTTTTGTTTTTATCTAAGAAAGCTTAATGAGAATTTGTGAGAAATTCAATTTATCCGGCAGGATAAATAGGCTTTCCACAAGTGTTTCTATGCAAGCAACAGCGCAAAAGGCAATAATTTTGAAAAAAAGTCACTTAAAATTGTTAAAATTGAGCGTGTTTCCTTTTTAGCATTAAACTTGTGCAAAATGTATTCTAAACCTAGGTACAACTTAGACAATTCACTACTCAACACGTTATTTTTCATACACAGATTTGGTTGATTTGGCTGAACTAGGCTGTCGACTACAGGGTGTTCAATATTTACGGAAACTTTTGAGCTCGAAGGTCACAAAATTGGTTATGAAAAAAAAATCGCTAAGAAATCACTGCATAGGAGTTGGAATAAACTCGAGTTTCTAGATTGTTTTTACAGTTTACGAAATTTGATAATCGAAAAATCGATTCATCGGAACTTGATCAACAAATTTTATCAAAAGGTTTCAGCCCCCAGTTGTTCTTGTTTAACGATTAGAAAGTCTTCACTATTTAACAGTTTTCGAATCTACGAGATATTAAAAATGTTAGAAACACATTTCAGTTTTGGTTTTTATCTAAGAAAGCTTAATGAGAATTTGTGAGAAACTCAATTTATCCGGCACAGCAGGCTTTCCACAAGTGTTTCTATGCAAGCAACAGTGCAAAAGGCAATAATTTTGAAAAAAGTCACTTAAAATTGTTAAAATTGAGCGTATTGGTAAGTGTGTTTCCTTTTTAGCATTAAACTTGTACAAAATGAGCTCTAAACTAGTAAAAACCTAGTAAAAACCGTCACTTCAGCATACTTGTAGAGATAAAGTAACTTTAAGTTGTTAAAATTGAGCGTATTGGTATGTGTGTTTGTATTTATGGGGATCAGCTTCAGTGTTTATATCTTGTAGAGATAAACATTGAAGCTGATCTCCATAAATATTGAACACTGGGCAAAGAGGAAGCAGTTTGTGTACCTTGATGACGAAGATCCACGGGAAGAGCTTCTTCCCGAGCTTCTCCTCTTCACTCTATACGTATTCCCATACAAGCTGTTCCTCCAATTGTTGTAAGATGTGAAATTCCCGGTTGCGTACATATCTAAAAAACGGCTTTCAGAGAAATTCCTCTCTCTTGTACTTGTACTTACTTGTACTTACTTGTACTTACTTGTAAAATCATTCAAATTCGTCACTCCAGCATACTTGTAGAGATAATCACTGAAGTTGAACGGTTTCCTCCAATCGATTTCCACACTCGTTTTCATCAAATTCTCACTTTCATCGTTGCTTGAGAGCAATTTTTGCATCTCGCTTTTATCCCAGACTAAATTTGTAATGAATTGTAATGAATCCAGAATTTTTGCACCATTTGGAATCGGTTGTCCGGAGATATCAAGACGAGATCCGTTTTCGAAAGAAATCTCGGCTTTAAACGGAAAATAGTGATATTTTGCTCCTTCGACTCTAAAGAATCAATGGTTGACTGAAAAATTTTCAATTTTCAATTCAGACTTGTATACTATTAGGCTAGTACATTGAAAACTAACTGGCTTTGCTTGGTACTAAATTAAAAACTTGCAGCACTTTGCAGCATTAGACTTGGGTTATCAAACAATATCAAATCAAAATCAACTCCAAGATCTTTATCAAAGCCAAATCCAAATCCAAATCCAAAGCCAAAGTCAAACCTTGAATTTGAAGCTTTGAAAGAAGATCAAAAGTTGGATTTTTTTAAATCTAATAAGGATTTGACGACCAAGTCTATTTTCACCTCTTTAACCAGATCTTCTTTCAAGGCTTCAAATCCAAGGTTTGACTTTGGCTTTGGCTTTGGCTTTAATAACGATCTCTTTAACCAGATCTCTAAATCTAAGCCAAATTTCTATCAAAGTTAACAAGATTTCCAACCTGAACAAGCTCAAATTCCTCAACGATCCCCTCAGTTCGACAGTTTTCACCTAAACACAAAACATTTTTCAAATTCCTACAACTTACCAAGGCGAATGAGTCCGGCAATGGATAGATCCCGACTTCACCCATATTAACGAATAACTGGAATTGCTTTGAAAGCTTATTCACAAACACCAAACCTGAAGATGATCTTGCAAAATACGAATCCGAAGATCGAACTCGTTGCTACTCTGTAATTTCTATTGAAAAACTGGAATGAAATGAAATGAAATTTAATTGATTAAGAGTACTTAACTGTGCAAGTCATTTTACTTTGAAATTTAATTGCCTGTTAGCCTGTGAGCCTGTTAAATGCCTGTTAGCCTGTTAGCCTGTGAGCCTGTGAGCCTGTTAGCCTGTTAGCCTGTGAGCCTGTTAGCCTATTAGCCTGTTAGCCTGTTAGCCTGTTAAATGCCTGTTAGCCTGTTAAATACCTGTTAGCCTTTTATAAGTATCCTTAATTAAAATCGAATTATGCAATCAAAAAAAATTTAATTAAAGTGTTTTAAAATTGAATGGGACAATTAATTAGATTTTATTTGATTGGCTTACGGCAAGTGGAGTTGGAGTAGAATCGTTTAGAATTGTCCCGTTCATGAAGTTCACTTCATAGATGGCACCTGAAAACTAAACGAGTAGACTAGAAAGTTTTGATTGAATGCTGATCTCAAAGAATGCTCATTGACACGAAGATCCCAAGGTATTGTTTTTTTGAATTTTATCAACCTTGATATGTTTAATTTATTGTCTACACATGAAATTAGTGGAAAATATCAAGCTTACGCAATTTCTCGACTTCCGAAACCGCTCTTGTGAAATATGAAATGGGAATGAAGGTGGCGTTTGCCTTGAAATCGATTCGTAATCTAAAATAACTCTCAAAGAACAAAATAAATTAGATAGTCTGATTATGAATAGAATAGTTTCTTGTGAAGTAGTTTTCTAAAAATATGCCTTTTATTTTAGAAAGTACATTTTAAAAGGAGAACTTTAATCATAAAAGAATTACCGTAAAAAAAACTCTAAAAGAAGCCACGGGGCTTCGATTTTTCAACCCCTCAAAATCAGTTGGCCAAAAAAGAGGTAAAGGGTCCCCAGCTGAATCAAAAATTTATTTTTCCTTAAAAACTGTTTTAAACGATAGCCCTTGACTTAAAACGTTTGTAGAATAGGCTTTCGAGTGAAAATATTTTCCAGAGCCTCCAGAAATTTTCCTGAAAAAAATCCCTCTGGTTTCCCCTGTCGGCTTTTTTTATTTTTTAATTTTTTGAAAACT